CGAGCCATGCGTTCGTGGGTGATCTGGAGGAGATATGCATCAGCGAGCCCGGCCTTCGCTTCAATGTCCCAAAGAACATGGAGGAATCGAAGGTGAAATTCGAGTACAAACCGACCTTCACCGCCCAGCCAAGACGGAAGCAAGAGCGGCAGAGCGAAGGTTACGGTGGACAAGATGCATTTGGGAACATTGATGCCAATGATCAGCGTCTTCGATGGTATACGGTCTCCGAGCTCAATGAGTTCATCTGCGAACTTTGCAGAAATGAAATGCAGAGGAACAAGTCGAAGGTGCTCGGGTCAAATTCAACCTTCAACCCTGAGACGTGCGTGAACTGTTGCGCGAACTGGAATGCGGACACGAACGGTGTTGCGAGATCAACCAACGGGAGGAAGATACACACGCGACTATTCGCGGAGTGCAAGGTCGCAATCCCAGACCTCCAACATCGCATGGTGAACGTCAACAATGTTCAGGCCATGACCACAATTATACGGGAACTGGTATATTCCAAGCTGAAGAAGGAGCTGTCCCACGTGGGTTTCGTGAGCATGACGGTGGATCAGGCGGCGCAGTTCTACAATCACAAACACGGAAGGCAATTGTGCGCAGCCAGAGATGTGGTCATATGCAAGAATTCCGAAGGGGTTGAGGAGAGGACCTCCATCTATGTGATAGACAGAGATCTTGGCAACGTGGCCTATTCATCTTGGATCAAGAGCGTGCTATGAGCTCCTGGGACAGACTACGAATGAGGAGTCTTTGGGGGACGTCGTCGAGATGATATTGGGATTCTTCGAGGTAATGTCGTACTTTCAGCACGAACTTCCATTGTGGAGAGATGCATGGAAGATCAAGAGGGAGTTCGAGCATTCCATCGTGCGGCACCTCGCACGACGGGCCAGAACCGAAAGCGGAACAAGCCGTCCGCACAGCTCGGAGTGCCCACAAAAGAGGTACTGGACATCATGAGCTCGATCAAGCCCAGACATCCGCTATCCCTGGTGACCGAGCAGGCCAACCAAGGATCCAAGAGGAAGGCAACTGAGAGTGAAGGCGATGGTTTTGGTCCAGAGCCAGACCAGAGCCGAAGCTCTCAGCCCAATGAGGAGAAAGAGGAGAAGAAGCAGCGCGTGATTGATGGGCGAAAAGCTGCACTCAAGTTCCTGGACTCAATGGAGAAGTGCATGGGAGAAATGGGAATTTGTACAAAGTGCGCGAACCTGGCCCACGACGGCGACTGCAAGAATAATGAGGAGGCTGCTGGAAACGAGAAGGTGATGAAGAAGATCCGCGAGCTTCTCAGCAGCGATCACGTTTCCTCGGATGAAGAAATGGGGGATGCTGAAGAACCGTCATCATCGGCATCCAAGGAACGCAAGAAAGGGGGACAGAAGGGGAAAGAAATAATAGAAATGTATAGCTATACCATCAATCTGGTGGAGATGGCTGACACGGCTGAAGGGGGAGAGCTACAATGCGGTGGCGTGGATCTCACCTACAATCCGTGCGGGGATCACAGGACGTTCAAGGCAGCGCTAGAGCGGGGATGTGACACTATTCCATGCTACATCCCGAAGTTTGGCGACGTGAGCAGCGTGCAAATGCCATGGGCGTACACGTCTATGGTAGATCCCATGGTTCTTCCCCAAGGGTGCCGTTCTGGAGCAAGTTGATGTGATACAGCTTGGTAAGAGTATCAATTTCTGCATCGCTCCCTTCGACGGCGCTCCGCACTGCAAGATCGGCGACGAACGCTCAGTGTTTGCATCGAGAGATCAAGCAAATCAGCTATCTCATGATCTATGCAGAGTCCTTCGACACAAGATCGGCAATTGTCGAGGAAGTGCTTTCAGATGTGATGAAGGTGGATGGGTTGACATTGACGCAGTCATCAACGACCGGAATAACGACATATTTCCACCGACGACTTCGAGAGCAAAACGATACATGGGCATCATGGAAGTGATCAAGTGGCAGGAATCTGGACACAAGAAATCAAGGTTCCAGGTCCTAGCAGCAAGGCTTCCAGGCATCATGAACCCGAACGACATGAAGGCCGCCAAAGAGGAGTTGAACTACATTGGCCTGGATCGGGGTGACATCGAAAGAATATTCAACAGATGCGATGGATGGTACAGGCCTTGCATCCGAGTCACAACTGGTCACAGTGACTTTGGCTTCATGAGCTCATCCGCATTGGCAAATAGGTATTCTGCAAGGATGGGTGATACTCTCGGAGGAGCATTCCATGTGACATACGTAGAGAACCTGCCAAGCATTGTACGCTGTGGGCTAGTCCCCGGCGGAATCGATGGCGGAAACAGGCTGGCATTGCACTTCGGGGCATTTGCTCCATGGGATGACATGAACGTAGCAACGAAGACGACGCTACGAAATTTGAGGACTGGAGGTCCGCTTGCAATCATCTACATTCCCAGTGCGACCCTCGCGCGATACGGAGCTGGAGTCGCGTTCAACGGGACATTTATGGTCTTTGACGTGATCCCGTTCTATGAGGTCAAATCCATTTGGATTGGCAAGAGCAACGGAGGGAAATGCCTGGAGTACGAGAGCATCAAGCGGGCGTACTCAAAATGTGTTGAGAATGAGATCTGTCCGGGATTCGTTGGTTCTTCCCAGGAGTCGGCCACGATGTTCCTTCAGAACGTCGCAAAGATCATCGAGGGAATGCCTGAAACAGAGGCAGGTGCCGACAATCTGCACTACGTTCAAGGGATGGTGGATCGTGCCTGCGAACTGTTTCGGGAAAACAAACTAGAAGAGTTTGATACTCTGACCAACGAGATCAGGGACGAGATCAGCAAGACCATCATCCTGAACGACGAGACATGGGAGGGGCTACGATGCCGAATTTGTCCGTCATGTGCAACCGCGATTCCCACGTGCTTCTGTGTATGTCTGGAATGTGGGGCGCAATTAATCTCTACCGGGAGATTCTGCATCCACATTGGTTCCGATGACGAGGGGGACGACCATAAACCCAATGTGTCAGGTGACGCCAGACGAGCACAAGATGAGGCTAACGACAACGCGGCGGAGCAGGAAGAGGGTGATGAGACGGAAAACGATTCCGAAGACGATGACATGGACACGCAAGGATACACGTCTGGTTGCATGTCCGAAGAAGAAGACGGCGGTTGGGTATACCGCGACAATGACCTGGCATCACGGGATATCATTAATTCCCAGCGGATGGCGATGTGTCTGGATGAGCCACGCGAGGCTCAATATATGGCGGGATTCATCGCACTGCAGATGTCAAAGATGTGGGGGATGTTCGAAGGTGGGGAAAAGAGAACGGTCGATGCTGCGGTCGAAGGAAAATTCTCTTGTCCATACCACAACGACTTCGGGAAGTACCCCAACATGACTGAGTTTGATCAGGAAGGGATCCTTTTGCCATCAACGGAGCATATAAGGTTACCCAATCTCAGAACGTTCGGACAAGGACCTTCCGGACGATCGAGGAGCGCAACCAATACATCCGTCATTTGGTGTCCAAATGCGAGGGGCTATACATTTTCTACAAGCTGTGGATTGCAGCAAGGATCCTCGACATCACCAAAGACGAGATGAAGCTCCTGGTCAAGGATCGCATCCATCCGGTGGGTGATATTGTTTACAGATGCTTCTCCCTGGCTTTCAACTGCAAATATATATCATTCACAAGGACAGGCTTGAACATTGGCAAACACAGTTATTCGGTTAACGTGAGTGCCATCATTGCGGCCGTTGACCCGAACAAATGCGACGCACCCCTGCTGGATTGGTGTCTCCGAAAGGGATACTGGCTTTCAGAAGGGCATCACAGGAAGTGCATCCGAGCACGAGAGGCTCAACAGAACTTGGACGAAGAGTTCCGTCGACGCATCAACAGGTTGACCATTGGGGACCGACCTACGTGATGCAGATGTGGATTATCATTGCTTATGCGGTATGGTGCATCCATCAGCAGCAGTATATGGAATTCACCTCGATATAGATTGCGGCATGATGTGGGCTAGTCCCCATCCATCGCTTGCGTCTCATCGATTTCGTTACGATGGAACATTTCTTTGACATGATATAATTTCATGCATCCAAGGTGAATGGATGTGTATGTATTTACATATTCCAACGGCTATGACATTTCGGATATTCATGGATGTGCACTATTGCCTCATGGATGATTTCCTTTCCTCATATTATTCATGGTATCTGGAACGGCTATTTTGCATGTATTGCTCGCCAAATCTTCTTTGCCGATGATATTCAGATGGCTCATGACCGTGCGCTACTATGGATTTCTATGGCCAACCCATTTCTGTGGATGACGGCTGCGCGATGCGCAAATGCGGCAGCCGGGATTTCAAGTGGTTGCGTATTGGCACGAGGCAAAATGTCTCTTGCATCTGAGTATAGGAATGTGCTACGATTTGCGGATGCATGTTTCAGTCTCAATTGAACCCGGCAAGTTTCACAATGAATGGACGGTGTAGCAATAGTGAATGAAAGAGTGTTCGACACAGTTTCGTAGTCGGAGCCGTGGCCATTGGAACGTGTTGTGATGTTTGGACCGTATGATGAACGATGCGACCCAAATGGGGGATGTTAAAACCCTCCTGGCCCCGTGCCTAAATTGGGAAGCTGTTCTGAGGTCTGTGTTATTGTTGGTTACAATGTTCCATTGACTGCCATTTGGCTCAAGTCACAAGTAGGGCTCAAGGTCTTGCATGAACTACGTTTGCGCGTGATCGACCATAGAGAGTGGAAAATACTTCATTCGCGCCGCAGCTGCCAGGATCACCATCGTGGTTATTGGTTCTTATCCCTTACAACAGTTTACACGGGTTCGGCTATAACGGTTTGACCGTATACACCTTTCTACGTGGTTGGGTACACAGCTGGAGGGTTCGGTGGACAGCGTCCCACGGGACGTCACCTTGCCGTCTCTTGACAAAACCCATTGACCCCGGGTCAGCTGAAGCTCAGCTCAGGTCTGTCGTCGCCTGCCCCTGGTGCAGCGGGAGGCACCTCTGGATGCCACGTTCCTCGCGGGGATCAAGGAGGACGCAGCATTCGGGAAGGAAACCGGCGTCTCCAAACATGTTTCATGTTTGAGGGTAGCCTGAGGTGTGGGCCAAGGTAAAGCCCGCATGTCCGTGGGCGTGGTGTGAGATCGGTGCTTGTTCATTGTGTTGGTTCAACGTTGGTCGGCTTGAAAAGCTTCGAGCTTTTGTCCAGGGTGCCTGTGAGAATCACGCGGAAAGGTGCAATCCATTTGAAAAAAACATCCCTTTATGATCACTGGAATGCTTCGGCAGGTTGCATCAGGCTGAGGCAATCAAACCGCAGTCGGGCCATGGGGCGTTGCTTCGATTATTTCATCACATGGTTGCCAAGAAACTCTCGATGTTTATTTCGAGTCCCTTTGATTTTCAAGCAACATGCCCAAAAGGGGCAGGACCACGCACTGGGCTGCTAGACATGTTGGCGCCATGTTGGGGCCGACAAAGGTGTTATTTTGCACCACCTGTGAAGGGGGAGCCCAAGAGGGCGTCACCATTGCTGCCCTCAACTTGCCATCAGCTATCTAGAATGCATCCAGAGCCATTCCTTGGATTTCCTCAGCTTCCCATCTGTGCTTGTTCCCTTGACCTGCAAGCATTGGGTGTGGACAAGAGATGCAAGGAAGCCTGCTCTTATGAAAGCGTGCCGCCAGTTCAATGCAGGAGCTTGCCTCGATCGAGGAGAGTGAGCAGAACATCCAATCCCTGTCGCAGGTGGGATATCCAGAAACAAGAGCGGCTTGAATCACAAGGCAGAATACTTAAAGCACTTTTCCGCGGATGGCTCTTCCTCACGTTTGATAAATTTGATCTCGATTGACAGCGGGAAGGCAAGAATTTCAGGTCAAGCACCTTGGATTTCACGGTAAAGCGTACTTGATCATTTCTGCTTCGATTGGCACATTGCCCAACCTGGCTTGGCAGCTTGTGCCGCCAATCTAATGTTCATTGGCGCTCGAAGACTTGCGGTTGATGCGAGCCAAGAGTCAGTCTGGATTTTGGGCCGCTTTGCTCACTAGCCAGCCCCCTGCCGCTGGAAACACCGGAAGCTGAAGATTCATTCCCTGCATCAACACAAAAAGTGGCGACGAAAAACAACAATGATGTGCCAGATCTCGTCCCCGGACCGCAAACGCCAACAAAACGGGGCACACCCGAAACACACCGCAGCGCGCACGAGGTGTTTCGGTATTACGCCCGAAATGCCAAGCAGCTGGCACAGCTCATCGTGGACTTCATGACGAAGCCGCTGGCGAGCATGGCCTTTTGTGGGGTGTTTATTTTTCCTGAAAACGGGAACCCGCTTGATCAACCCCTGCTTGCGAGTCCCAATTTCCGGGAATGCCGCTATTATTGGGGGGCATGCCGCCTATTTGCAAGGTTAACGAATCCCAGCAAGATTAAGAGCAAGTGTGAACTGCCTCACATATCGAAGGCCGTTGGGCTTTGAAGGTCAAGCAGCCTTGAATGCCACCTTCACTGCCCCAACGCTACTCGAAGCCTTGCCGAACGCATTTGCCATTGTCCAGAGTCTCATTGATGCCACCCACAGCCAAGCCAGAGATCATAGGATCCCGCCGCCTCCTGCGAATACACGGCCCAACACCGTTTTGGCAAAGCATTTGGAGCCCTTCGCCGTGAGAGACGAGTTCGGCTTCAGGCAGTGTTTTCCCTGGGAGCTGCTCCATGCGCTCCACTTGTTGGACGACATCCTCCTCATGGACAACACTGGCTGCTACAAGACTGAACTCACGGACCGTGTCGGGGCAGCATTCTGGAGTGGGATTGTGTAGATGCAGATACGTTCGAAGACCCTAAGATGAACCGGCAGTTGCTGGCGTTGGCATGCTTCTTTTTTTGGTTGTGTTGTTGTGTGTGTTGGGCTGTAAAATCAATTCCTTACTGAATACTCTTTGGTTTGGGCTTACGGTCACTGCGGCTGTGAATGACGGCGTTTCAGTGTTCACAAGCCAGGAAGGAAGGCCCCGAAATCAGGCTGGGACACAATCGCCCAAAGGCCGGCAGCCTTTGAACAGATACATCACCACAGAACCAAGCTGAAAGGGATGAGCAGCTTTAGGTGCGCGATTGGTGCCAAAGAGCTGTCGGAGTTTCCACAAGGTTGATCATGCTCCCTCTCTCAAGGCTTGGCCCCAAGCAATCTGCTGACGAATCTCTTATTTTTCCAGAAACCTCAATAAAACCCACAGCATTTTCGAAACATTCCAGAAAGAAGAAGAGAACAGAAAAAGAGAAAGCAAAAGCGAGCGCGAAGGAGAAGGAGAAGGAGAATGAAGAAGAGAAAGAGGAAGAGGAAGAGGAAGAGGAAGAGGAAGAGGAAGAGGAAGAGAAAGGATAGAGAAGAGAAAGAGCCAGAGATAGAAGAAGAAGAAGAACAAGAAGAAGAAGAAGAGAAAGAGCAAGAGAAGGAAAAGGAGAAGGAGACGGATAAATAAGAGGATAAAGACAAAGAGAAAAAGGAAGAAAGAAAGAGGGACAGAGAAGGAGAAGGAACGGGTAAAGAGAAAGAGGAAGAAGAAGAGAAAAGCAACACAAAGAGGAAGAGGAAGAGAAACAAGAAGAGAAAGACAAAAGAGAAAGAGACAGAAGGGAAAATTGAAGAGCAAGAGAGCGAGAGACGGAAAGCAAACGAGGAAGAGTAAGAGAAGGAGCAAGAGAGAGGGAGAGAGAGAGAGAGAAAAACAAGCACAAGGAGAGAAGAGAACAAGAGAGCGAGAGAGAGAGAGAGAGAGAGAAAGAGAGAAAAGGGGGGAAAGAAGCGTGCTCCAAACTATATTTTTGAAGCTTTCGCCCCCCCCTTTGCCAGCCTCACTGGTAGCCCGAAATAACGCGAATGTAGTCTTGTGCCCACGTTGGCCAGAATGATCAGGAGCCAGTTGAGCCAGACTTCCCGGTAGGCATCAGATTACACCAAGCGACCCCACCCAAGACTGGAAGTCAAAATTCAGACCCCAAGAAACAAGCAATCTCAGACCCCCCAGACCCACCCCAAGCAACGACAAAAAGAAGTTCCCAAACAAGAACAAGCAAAGCATCTGAGGCATCCACGGCATCGCCGTGCACGCTTTCCGCAAGGTCCAGTCTGAGGCCGAACGGCGCGAGGTGGCCCGTGCCTGGGACTGGGGTTCATGTCGTTTCTTTTCTTATGTGGGGAGGAAAGTGTGGCATGATCTCGCCCCAGCTCTCGATTCTTTGGAAGTGATTTGAAACTTGTTGGGTTTAACTGGGGCCGTTCCGTGACCGTAGTGAAATGTTCCGGGTGTGCCTCTCTGCGTTTTGTAGCCACTGGGAAGCGGAGGATCTGCCCAATTTCAACTACAAACGGCGGACTGCGGGGAGTTGACTTCAAACAAGCTGGCTCGTCCCCCAATCTTCCATTTTCCGGAAGTCCATGTTACTGGCTTCCGGCAAGTCCTATCATCCACTCTGGAGGAGCAACACTAGAAATGTGAGATGGCGCAATAGAAAGGAACGACCCCCCCCTTCCATCTCCATTGGGGCAGGGCGTCTGCAAAACAAAGGAGGGCATGTGTTCCCTTGCCGCAGTGTCGCTTGCAATTTCTCGCGTCGGGCCTCCAACTCCCTGTTTCATTTTGGAGGGAGCACCCTAGGTGAAGGCGAAAGAAGAGTTGAACGTCTTATTCCCAGGGGTTTTGGCTCCATCGAAATCATGGACACTTCGACCCGAAAGGCGCGCCAATAGGAAACCACAGTCGCAAAAGACCTCTTTGCGAGAGGGTCTCGCCCTCCTGTGAAAATTTAGCGGGGTCACTTAAACATCGGCTTGGGGCGGATTGAAATGGGTTCCCTAATGGGTGACGTGCAAAGGGAAAATCATGAACACTTCTCCAGAGCGGGCGTCCAGTAGTTGCAAGCTGAGTGGCTTTACCCTTGCCACTCGCCCGCTGCCCACGCAATCCGATCTGAGCCCAAGGGATCCTCCACGCCTGGCAAGAGCTGCGGATCTTCGACTTCGAGACGCTGAGCGCTGTCAAGGCCATGCTCCGCGCCACTGGCGAGGCAAGCCGGGCGGAAGTTTCAGGGGTTTGGGGCTGAGGCCGGAAGGGTTGGCAAAATTTTACCCCTAGAGAATATGTCCAATTGCAAAGTATTCAGCCGCTGTTGGGTGCGTCACTTTGGCCAACCTTTGATGCTACCTGCGTGGGGTGATCCTGCTCCTTCTTCAAGCATGGCAATACGCCACTGTTGTTCAACCAGCCTCCTTTTACACTCTGTGGGTCCCAGGGATCCTGGCCGGATTGGGCCCAGGGTTACTCACATTACAGGCAGCCCGCGTTGACAAGGAAAGCCTATCTGGCAGGGTGCTGTGTCTGGTGCTTTTCCAAGGAAACCGAGGGAAATCGCACCTCTTGTTGCTTGTCAACAAAGCCGGTATGTGAACTTCTGTTCGGCTTTTGCACAGAAACGCTCAACTCCTTGGAATCTTGGTCCGAACCTGGAGACGAACCTGGACCTCGGGCAACAGAAAGCAACAACTGCGATCCAAAAACAGGAATCTCCAAGCACACTGACGGGGTCTGGAAACATACTAAATACCAATTATTGTGTTGAAAACGCGTTTGGAACAATGCAAAGACAAGCTTCTCGGAAAAGCGCGCTCTTTTGGAGGCTGCGTGCCGCATTCTGGACGAAGCTTCAGCAGACGACGACCTGGACGAAGTGGCGCCGCCTGCATCAGCAGCGCCAAAGCAAGCTGGGGCACCTTGGCCTTTTAATAGGGTTGCTTTGTTCCACCGGAAGGCGATGTCAAACGTCGTGTGTTCATCCCATTTGAAGTGAGGCGCCTTTTAGGTTGTCAACTAAGTCGGGAAATGCAAGAAACCCTGCTGCACCACCGGCAAACGTCCGCATGTTGCCCTTTCTGGGCCTGTTTGGATGCTTGTTGAACCAAAGGCTCAGCGGTAGCCACCAGCAGGCTTACCTGGCAAAGCTCGGCAGATCATTGTTGGGAGCGGGTTTCAGCAAGGAGCTGGTTTCCGCCAATGTAGCCATAACAGAACTGAACTAAGCCTGGTGAGAGTCAGCCTTGTCCACTAAGACTTCACTCGCGAAAGTGGGCCTTGTCAACTAACCCTGGTCAAACTGATTCTTGTCAACTAAACCTGGTGAAAGCGTTTTTTGTCAACAAAGCCTCGTGGAAGTGCTTCTTGTCAACGAAGCCTGATGACTACATGTCGCAGACATTTTATTGGTTTTTCCCCACAAGTGCTAGCCATAAGGTTTAGAAAGGGACATCAGCGCATGCAATCTTGTGGAACCTGCATCGGAAGCTTGTTCCACAGTTTCTTCCAGAGAAAAGAAGATCAAAAGAGCCCTACCACTACCGCTTCAACCACCGCGCAAACAGAAAGGTGTGGGTTCAGGCCTCACACCAAAGGAGCTGGTTGGGACCGACCTGCAAGAAGAGACAATGTAGCGTTTTGTTTGTGATGTCCTCGCAGTTTTTTTGAAATGGCGATCCCCTGTCAGCTCGTCGTTGAGAAGAAGCACTTTCACCACGCTTAGTTGACAAAACGCAGTTCAGGCGCATGTTCGCCAAGTTTGGTTGACAAGACGCAAATTCACCAGGCTTTGTTTACAAGAACAAATTCAGGCCAAGAATGAGTTTCACCAGGCTCGGTTGACGAGAAGAACTTCCACCAAGCCTGTTTGACAAGAAGCGACTTCCCAGGTTTAGCTGACAAGAAGCATTTCCACCAGGTCTAGTTGACAAGAAGCGACTTCCCAGGTTTAGCTGACAAGAAGCACTCCCACCAGGTCTAGTTGACAAAAAGCACTTCCACCGGGTCTAGTTGACAAGAAGCGACTTTGTACAGCAGGTTTAATTGCCAAGAAGCGCATCCACCAGGGACAGTTAACAAGAGTGCTTAGTTGACAAGAAGCGACTTCAGCAGGTTTAGTTCACAAGAAGGCCAGATATAGCTGACAAGAAGCTCTTCCACCAGGTCTAGTTGGGTCTAGTTGACAAGAACATCAGATTTAGTTGACAAGAAGCACTTCCGCCAGGTCTAGTTGACAAGAAGCGACTTTACCAGATTTAGTTAGCAAGAAGCACTTCCACCAGGTCTAGTTCGCAACAAGCGACTTTACCAGCAGGTTTAATTATATAGTTGACAAGTGTCAGTTTACGCAGCTTGGTCGAGCGACTTCGGCCGGTTTAGTTCACAAGAAGACCAGATTTAGTTCCCAAGAAGCACTTCCACCAGGCCTTTTTGACGAGAAGCAACTGCACCAGGTTTAGTTGACACGCAGCAACTGCACCAGGCTTGCTTGACAAGAAGCAACTGTATCAGGTTTAACGTACAAGCAGCACATCCACTAGGGTTAGTTGACAAGCAGCAATGGACAAGAACACTTCCACCAGACCTTGGGGTTCCCTCAAAACGTCTTGTCCGTGAGGCTTCTTCAAAGCCTCGCTTGGAGACCCCGGCGAAGAAAGCCAAGGCATCGATTGGCGAGTCGGTGACTGCTTCACTTCAGATTATGGCAGACAAGGGTGGCCAAACTAAGGTTCCCTGGAAACCATCCACAGCACAGCAGAAAGCTCCAGATTCATCCTGTGCATCTCCCTTTGAAATCTCCCTTTGAAGCAAGGAAGCACAGTTTTGATGAATACAGGCCGCCAGGTTAGTTCAAAGCTGGCATTGCGCTGCGGTATCAACAACGCATGCGAGCACTGTATGTTGAGGGTGGGGCACCTGCGAGCACCCCGATTCCAGACACAAGGTTCGACTTAGAAGCGCTTCACCTTCACCTGTGCAGCTCTCTCCCTCTCTCTCTGACAAATTCGTAGGATTCCTGCCGTCAAAGGACATAGTGATTTGGGGTTTGTAGGGATGGTCCTGCGCCCCTCATTTGCGTTTTTTATGCAAACCGGAAAGGTTCCCAGAAGAAGGGTCCACAAACCTTTCCTGGGCATTGGGAAGGTTGAAGCGGCACCAGTTGCCGCACCACGGCCGGCGGCAAAGATCGCGGCCATCATTCAAAGGCCCGGGGCTTGGGAGGCCTTCACTGGCGATTTGGAGTGTGGCATCAGCGGTGGCATCTTTTGTCAGACCCATTGGGCGGCTTGAGCATTTGGACCCCGTTGAGTCTCAAGAGTTCCGAGGTACCCTGAAAGGTCGCAGCCCGAAAGCTGCCCTTCCAAAAACACCCTGTTCAGAGGTACGGCCTGTAGGGTTCAACTCTGGATCATGGTTTGCAGGCTTGGATTGGCGGCTTAGCAATTTGAGCTGTTCAAGCCGCCAAGCCAAGCCGCGAATATGGGCCGGGTGATTCAGGCGATCTCTACGCGTGTACATGGCATTAGTTTGGACAGTTTTAAGATTGCCGGACCAGGCAGACACTGAAACACATGTTTTGAATTAAATTAGTGAAATATAGTGAAATAGTTTGTGAATCAAAATAGTGAATGAAATGTTTAGTGAATCAAAATTGTGAATTGAGAAACATGGATGACGGAAAGCGCTTCTTGAAGCGCTGGGAGTTAGTGTACGAAGTTGTGGGGGGGTGTGGGGGAACCTCGTTCCGGGAGATTTGCAGGTCTGGTCAGCCGAAAATACTCCCAAAAAATGGGAGTATTTTTTGGAGCACTTTCTGCCACCGCAAGGCTGGTTTTTGGTGTTTTTCCCTGTGTTTTTCGCGCTTTTTCGTCGACGCTGCCTATCATGTCTGACCTTTTCGTTTGTGGCTCTCGCGGGCCAAAAAGCGCGCCAGTTTTACATCATTTTACTTTGCTTCCGGCCTCGCCGGACTTGGGCGCACAAGGGGTGCCGGGGATGCAGGGGATGCCGGGGATGCAGGGGATGTCGCTTGTTTTGGAAGTTTTTGTGGTGGCCGGCGATGCTGGGGATGTCGCAGGAAAAATACTCCCATTTTTTGGAGTATTTTTTGGAGCACTTTCTGCCACCGCAAGGCTGGTTTGCAGGTCCCAGGGAGACGACACGGGGTGTGTAAGTACGGGCGCTTGTTTGGGTTGTTGCTTGTATGTGATTCAGTGCAGGGAGGTTGTGCAGTTGTTGGTTTGCTCTGACTTGGGTCAAGCTGGCAAGGGACAGCAAGGCAAAGCAAGGCAAACCAAGGGAAAGCAAGGGCAAAGGAAGCGAAAGTAGGGGAAAGCAAGCCAGGCAAGGAAAAGCAAGGCAAAGCAAGGGACAGCAATGGACAGCAAGGGAAAGCAAGCAACAGCACGGGCAAAACAAGTCAAAGCAAAGGAAAGCAAGGGACAGCAAGGGACAGCAACAAAAAAGCAAGGGAAAGCAAGGGAAACACAAGGGAAAGCAAGGGACAGCAAGGCAAAGCAAGCGAAAGCACAGGCAAAGCAAAGGAAAGCAAAGGAAAGCAAGGGACAGCAAGCAAGGGACTGCAAGGGAAATCAGGGGAAAGCAAGGGAAAGGGAAAGCAATGGAAAGCAAGGCAACGCAAAGGAAAGCAAGGACAAGCAAAGGAAAGCAAAGGACCGCAAGGGACAGCAAGGCAAAGCAAGGGAAACCAAGGGAAAGAAAGGGACAGCAAGGGAAAGCAAGGGAGAGCAAGGCAAAGCAAGCAAAAGCACGGGCAAAGCAAGGCAAAGCAAAGGAACACAAGGGACAGCAAGGGAAATGGAAAACAAGGGAAAGCAAAGACAAGCAAAGGAAAGCAAGGGACAGCAAGGGAAAGCAAGGGAAAACAAGGGAGAGCAAGGCAAAGCAAGCAAAAGCACGGGCAAAGCAAGGGAAAGAAAGGGAAAGGGAAAGCAGGGACAAGCAAACGAAAGCAAGGGACAGCCAGGGAAGGCAAGGGAAAGCAAGGGAAAACAAGGGAGAGCAAGGCAAAGCAAGCAAAAGCACGGGCAAAGCAAGGCAAAGCAAAGGAAGGCAAGGGAAAGCAAGGGAAAGCAAGTGAAAGGGAAAACAAGTGAAAGCAAGGGACAGGGCAAAGAAAGCAAAAGCATGGGCAAAGCAACGCAAAGCAAAGGAACACAAGGGAAAGGAAGGGACAGCAAGGCAGAGCAAGCAAAAGCACGGGCAAAGCAAGGCAAAGCAAAGGAACACAAGGGAAAGGAAGGGACAGCAAGGCAGAGCAAGCAAAAGCACGGGCAAAGCAAGGCAAAGCAAGGGAAAGCAAGAGACAGCAAGACAGCAAGGCAAAGCAAGCAAAAGCAAGCAAAAGCTCGGGCACAGAAAGGCAAAGCAAAGGAAAGCAAGGGACAGCAAGGGAACACAAGGGAAAACAAGGGAAAACAAGGGAAAACAAGGGAAAGCAAGGGACAGCAAGGCAAGGGAAGCAAGGCAAAGCAAGCAAAAGCACGGGCAAAGCAAGGGACAGCAAGGGAAAGCAAACGAAAACAAGGGAAAGCAAGGGACAGCAAGGCAAAGCAAGCTAAAGCACGGGCAAAGCAAGGCAAAGCAAAGGAAAGCAAGGGACAGCAAGGGAAAGCAAGGAAATGGGAAAGCAACGGAAAGGGAAAGCAAGGGAAAGCAAGGCAACGCAAGGGAAAAAGCAAGGTCAAGCGAAGGAAGGCAAGGGAAAGCAAGGGAAAACAAGGGAAAGCCATCGCATGCCGTGGCAGGCGCTTTCCGTTGTTTGCCGGACTGGTTTGCAGATTCGCAAGCCCAATTTAGTGAAATTTAGTGAATTTTAGTGAATTTTAGTAAAATTTAGTAAAATTTAGTAAAATGTAGTGAAATTTATGAAATTCAATGAAAATTTTCACTAAATTGGATCGGCTTGGTACTTTTCCACAAATGTGCACTAGGGGCAAAAAAATCAAAGGACAGTTGGAGCACCCTTGGCAGTTGGCATGGGGAGCTGGGCATGGTTTTGAGCCTTTGAGCACGGGCCTGCGCCCCGCAGCCATTTGGTTTTGGCAACGAGTTCGAGGGCTTCTTGGTCTTGACCGTCTTGATCAGGCGCGGGTGGTTGGGCAGTGACCTTGTCGTTGTGCCATCATTGATTGGAAGGACAACGATTGCATAGGGTGGCATTTAGCTCTTGGCGCAGCAGCAGCATTGCTTATTTCTCGTCCGTCATCGCCATTTTGGGCTCAGATCTGAGAGCTGAGTCAGCAGAGCAAAGCAACAGAAGGGCAGCAAAGCAACAGAGCAAGCAGCTTTCGGCGGGCGCAATGTTCGTGACCTTGGGAGCTGATGCTCATGCGGACAACTCTGCCTTCATGACCGTGGAGATCGCTGCGGGCTTTAAGGTGGTCCCGTAGCGTCCTCAAACTGTTGGAGTGTCAGTAGTCTTGGACCTTGGGGGCTCGAGCGAGCTAGGTTTGCGGTTTTGGGTTGCATCGAGATTTGAGCTGTCACCTGTAACAATGACTGACAAAGGTCCGGTGAAGGCTATGTGGCCAACATTGTGGTGGTTTCGGAGAGAGACGACTTGGCAAGGGCGCACAGCTTTTTGGCAGGACATCACTGGTTGTTCCTAGGCTTGACCTGGCTTGCCCTTAGCTTTTTATGTGAAAGGTTCTTTGAGGCGCTCGCTTGCGTCCACAGCAGGACTTTGGCAGTCTGCCTACATGCAGTTCAAGAACAAGGAGTTGCATCGGGTCTACACCGATGTATCTGACCCGCCTCCCTTCAACGAAGGGGAGGAGCGGCGCGGAATACTTCATGTCATGGCACACCACTCATGACTGTCATGACTCGCACATGAAATAACGATGCGCCAGATCGTGCGTCGCTTCAACCGTGCGGTCTCGGAGGGGGCGGACGCCGCTTGCTCAAGATTGATGCGACGTGGTTACGTTGTTAGTTTGAGTTGAGTTGGTTGTTTATCTAAGTTTTCAGGTGCCATTCATCGTCAGCCAGATTGGGCGCTGCCTGTACCAGGAGCTTGTTGCTGAATCTGCCACACGCCCACATGCCACGCGACGCGACACATGACATGTGCCATGTGCAATTTCCCTGCCAGGTGCAGACGACGCACAGCTCGGATGATGTGATGCTGCTGGGAGGGGAAGATGGCCAAACTCTGATGACGAAGAGTGAAGGGCTGTATTTTCGCCCACTGGCGGGTGCAATGGGCCCACCGGGGCCAGTAATCACGTGGCCTGAGGCCAATCGCTTGGAACGCCGCCGCCGTTGAGTTTGACTTTGACTCAGCTGGCAGCCAGCAGCTGGGGGGCTAGGGCCATTTTCCATTTCAATTGCTGCCAAATAATGCAGCTCAGTTGTTCACTGGACACTAAGAGAGTTAGTCTCGATAAGCTTGACACTTGAGACTTGAGTTTTCGCCTGACTGTTGGCTGCCTGGGTTTTTAGACTTTGCTGTCACTGTGCCTTAGTGCAGCATGGCAATGGTGCCCAGCTCGAGATCGAAAAAGGGGCCGGCGACATTGGACAGCATTGTCATCAGAAAACGTTGCAGCAAAAACGTTGCTTTGCATTGCCTGCCTGCAACCTTGAGTGGTTAGTGGACCGTCGATTACTCGCTTTTCCGGCAGGCGCGGCCCTGGCCGCACTGCGGCTGCACGGCCTTGCTGCTGTTGCAGCCAGGCCACGGCCACGCACGGGGGTGGGAGCTTTGGATGGCTTAGGCTTAAGGCATGGCTGAGCCTGACGCGGCTGAGGCTGTGAGATGTTTAGCTTAGCAAGGGGTGTTTGAGGGTCTGAGGGGCGAAGGCAAAAGGCATAAGGCTACAGGATACAGAGGATGTCAGAAACTCTCCAGAGACCCAGGCCCAGGTTCAGAGTCTGCCCGGAGTGCTCTTGCCTTTGACTCCTTCCCGACCGGCCCAACCATCCCAACCTTTTGACAGGCTTTCTTCTCCAGCTCGTCCGTCCGGCCCTGTGCTCAGAGTTGTGCTGGCTGACTAGAATGAAGGAGCCTTCCTTTCCCTGACTACTCATTACGGTCCATTGGCAACTGGTTGGACCCTGGTGGGAAGCATAAACAGCCCCAAGGCTTGAGCGGTCTAGTCACGTAGTTGTGTCTGTCACGGGTGACGGATCACGGGTCTCGGGTCGCGGGTCATTTCATGAGTCATGTCATGTCATGAAC